AAGAGAAGATGGAATTGGGGCTTCTCCTGGGCCAGTTCTGTGTCCTTCCTAACACTATCAGCTGTCCCAGAGCATCCATCACTGCCCAGGCCAATTGCTCGGACGCTGTCAACGTTGCCCATTGTCTGTCTGTGGACCCTGTGCAGCTGACCCTGAGCGCCAGCCAGTCTTTATCCGCCTAGCTGACAGGGCCAGTCAGGATGATCAATATGGGCCTCTTCCTCACGGTGCAGTCACTAAATGGATTTACTTTCCTTAATATCCATGTGGAGTCACTCTTTGGGCAGTGGAGAGTTGAAGTAAGCCCTGTGCTGATTAAGCTCTGCTGGAGTGGAAAAGCATGAAACAATACTGGATGCTCTGCAGGACAGGCATCCCCACCAAGTGAGTGTTTGCAGAGAATACAGCACTCTACAATGATTTTTCAGATGGTTTTCCATGACCAAGCGTGCATGGAGCTATCGGTTTGAACATGTGGGAAATCATTTGTCTGATTTTCATAAATCTCAACCTCCTCAAAGGAAAGAGCTTATCTCCTAGACAGCTCATCTGGTGATCTAGTGCTGGTTCCATTTACCAAAATCAACTGTAAATGTATGAGCGCACTTTTGCTATGTTGCTAGGATAATGGTTGTTAAGTTCACTCTATGGTCCTTTCTTTATTTTTAACTGACAGATAATTGTACATCTTTATGGGGTCTTGTGTGATGCTTCTGTACATTTACATGTTGTGTAATGATCAGCACAGACTATTAAGGTTATCCATCATTTTTCTTACATGAAATACTAGACCTTGCAGTATGGCTGCCTCGTACCTAAACTAAAGGCTAAAGTATAGCTCATCTTTGCCAGCACCAACCGAGATCGCCATAGGGTAAAGACATCCCTTTCTGGGGTTTCTTTTAACATTTATTGGGAGATAATTCAGCATTACATTTTCTTACGGCTGTTTGTTTCTTTGCAAGTTGACTATTAATCAAGCAGTTTTCTCTTTGATGCAGAATATCTTTCTCTTTGGTTTTACCATTTCTTATGGTTTTGTGTATTTCATTTGAGGCTGAAAATAAGTCTGAGAAGATGGTAGAATATAAGAAAAGGATATGTAGTCTCTCAGTTTCTGGACATCACTGGACTTATCATTGTTTCACAGAGCAAATTAACCGCTAATGCTGGATCTGCCCTCAGTTGGTTCTTTACTGGAATATTATTGTAATTTTTCCTTTGTTGTCAACAAGAGGATAGCTAGGATCAGGATTTTTCTCTGTGTCATTTAGTATAGAGGAGAGTGAGTCATGTGGTCTTGCAGGGGTCTGAGGATGTGCTGATGGCCCTGATCCAAGTGATTTCATGTGAATTTTAGATCCCACTCAGATAACAATTGCTACTGGTTTTAAATGTCCATTTAACTCTCACCTTCATTATTTCTGTGAAGATTCATGCTGTTTGATTTGCAACTTTATGTGTTGGCTCCAAATTGGAGAAAATCTTGGCTTCCTTGCAGTATTTTTTGGTTGGGTTTAAAATTTACTGTAGTGCTTCCAGGAGTTCCTTGCCTCTAACCCACTGCAGTTGGCCACCTCTGCCCTCCAAGAGAATCCTCCTTCTGGGTCCCTCTGGGAGGAGGAACATTCTGGCCCAGAAAGGCCTTGGAGTGGGAGGGTTTCCGACATAACAGGAGCTGTGTTTGTCATTGGGCAGCTTTATCGCAAAGCTACAGCCTTCATCCTTGTTGAAAAATGTAAGATTTTCTCTTCTGGAGTCAGAGAGGAGAGAAAATCTCATAGTTAAAAGAGAAGAACAGAGAAGGAAGAAAGAGATCTGCTGGGACATTCATTCTCTGATGCGTTGTCAGGTTGTCTTAACAAACTTTTCTGAAAAGCACTGGAGTGCTGGCTTCATTCTCCAGCGGTCCTGTGTGTGATCCTGAAAGGCATCTGTGGGGCCAGCGCCATGGCTCACTTGGTTAATCCTCCTCCTGCAAGCACTGGCATCCCATATGGGCGCCGGTTCTGGTCCCGGTTGCTCCTCTTCCGGTCTAGCTCTCTGCTGTGGCCCGGGAGGGCAGTGGAGAATGGCCCAAGTGCTTGGGCCCCTGCACCCGCATGGGGGACCGGGAGGAAGCACCTGGTTCCTGGCTTCGGATCAGCGCAGCTCAGGCCATAGTGGCCATTTGGGGAGTGAACCAGTGGAAGGAAGACCTTTCTCTCTGTCTCTCTCTCTCGCTGTCTATAACTCTACCTGTCAAATAAATTAAAAAAAAAAAAAAAGGCATCTGTGTGTGTCTGTGTGTAAATGTGTGTGTGTATGGAATTATGTGCATAAGCACATGATGGAAGTAAAAGCAAGAGAGGAATTTTTTCTTAAAGGTAGATTTAAAGACTGAAAACACCACATTATTAGGACATCTACTGACCAAATAAAGAAAAAACAATGCAGCTCAAAAAGATCAAGGCCATCTTAATCAGCCCCATTGCCTTGGTCTGCTAGAACATGGTGACCTGCAGGCTGCTTGTGCCAATAACATCTTACATTGCTTTCTGTTTTTCTCCTGTTGCCTAAGAGGAATAGTGTTGAGCTTTCTGGACGACTGGAAGCCGCAGGGGTGTGCACTGTCATTGTACTGGAAATCAAGACAGATGTTGGGGAACCAGGGGAGTTGTGGCAGGAGGACCCATCTGCAAATGTCACTGCTTGCATCTTGGAACTCACAGAGTTAACCCTTTACTAGCCAGTGTGCACGTGGGGCTGCAGACTATGATTCAGGCCCCTGACCTACTTCCATGGTTACTAAAGCTTAAACCAGCCATTAGGAGAGCTCTTCCAAGTTGGAGTCACCCTGGTCACACCTGGAACCGTTCAGAGCCCTGGCCTGTAGCAGAGCTCCCAGAACGGGATTGTGATCAGCCTTGGGTGGCTGTGGTATAAGCTGAGGATTTTTCAGTACCAGAAACCTAATGAATTGATCCTTATGATTGAACGAAAGGTAGGATGCTGTGGCGAGAGCGAGAAATGTGAGGCAGTGCCTAGGGTCGTGAGATGGTCTTGGCCATTTTGGCGTCCACTGTGTTTATATGCAGTCCTGCTAGAGAGCCAGGAGGCAGTCGGCAACTGCTGGGAACCGTGAGGCCCCTGTGCCCTGGTGGACAAGGGCAGGCAGAGGACAGGAACTCCCACAGCATCTGTTATGGAGATGGCTGGGTAAGCGTGGGGCAGAGGCTGATGGGCAGTGAGGAATTTTAAATGGAGCCACCTGTCTTTTTTGAGAATAAGACTCTTTCAAATGCAGCCAGTTCTGGGCAGTTTCACCGCCAGCTTGGCTTTCTGACTGTGATCTGATGATAACATTTGGCTGCAGCCTGCAGAGGTCTGAGTGGACAGCTGGAGGTGGGTGCTGAGGAAGGAGTGCAGGCCCATGGGACAGGGAGCCAGGGGATGGCACAGCATCGGGTAGGGCAGGGCCTGAGTTCCTCAGAGCTCTGTATGCATTCAGCCCCAAACGGGGCCCTTGCCACAATCTCCCAGGGGCCAGAGGGCAAGGTTCAGAGTCTATGTCTTCTGCACCCTCGACACCTTGACATTCATCTTCATGATTTGCAAACATTTGGAATGATATCACATATAAGAGTACACATGAGATGGGAGTATATATATAGCAGTATAATGGGTTGGTCATTTGAGGCTGTAAAAATGATTGCCTTAGAATGTTACAGATCTATCTTGTATTTGCTAGAGTTGTGGTCTTTGTGGTTTAGGAAAATACAATTTTTTTTGTTGCCATTGTTCCACTTGAACAAACAAAAAGATATTCACAAAAAATGCTTGCCTGTATCCCACATGAGTACTTGAGTACAATTCCTGACTCCAGCTTCCTGCTAATGTGTACCCTGGGAGGCAACAGTGAGAGCTTAAGTAAGTAAATTCTTGGCACTCACGTGGGAGACCTTAATTCAGTTCCTGCTCCCAGTAGGCCTAGCCCCAGCCGTGGCAGGCATCTGGGGAGTAAACCAGCAGCTGGGGAAGTACTCCTTCTCTTTCTGCTTCTCAAACTGAAATTTTTCTTTATTTAAATAGGTATTTAAGGTCCACTTTACCTGGAATAAAAACATAAGTAGTTGACTGACAGCAGCCAGTGTGTGGTCTCTCACCACTGAACACTGTAGTCAAGAACGCAGGCAGGCCCAGGCACTGTTGACTTGAGTTTGGTAAACATACGACCAAGCTCGCTACTGCCCTTCCTTCTTTTCCTCCCTAATTACAAAGCCTTGAATCCCTTGAGACATCTGAACCTAAGAACAAGAAACTGAAGTTGGCTTTTGCTTGCCCTTGGCAAGGGTACTGTGGGGATGTGCACCTGGACAGAATAGTGCTAGATGTTAGAAGGCCACTCTGAAGTCACCCAGTCGTCATCACTGACCTCCCTGGAGGAAGGTGAGACTCTGATGATTGATCTCTTGTTGAAGAACACACAGATGCAAGAGGCCCCTGCACTACTGTGTTGGAAGTTGCAAAATGACCTTTTAGTTTTACTGGGTATCTGTGGCCACTCGTGTGAACTTAAACAGATGAAGCCAAAGACAGCGTAGTTGGATTTGATACTGGAGAGTGGATGTAGAGAGAAAAAGCCTTGAGTATGGGGTTAGATTCAGCACAAGGATGAATGCCGATGTGTTTGTTCTTGTCAGTTACATCAATATATTTAAACTCTGCTCTGGTAGAATAGGATTATGGGCCTATTTTGGAGGTGGAAATGGAAAGCTAAGCAAAGTGCTGGTGATAAAAGAATCGGGAACATCTTGCATTCTGCTTGCTTGTGCTAGCCATACCTTCCTGAAATGCCTCTTTTACAGTCTTATTATCACTGAAGGCTAACACAGTTCTAGTGGGTAGGCCATTCTTGCTTCTTGGCAAAAGGGAATTCTTAAGAAGATGATCCATCCTCTCGGATATGTAGGAAGCACAGTCAGATTCTAAATTTTCTCTCTCATTCTGTCTTTTGGTAGGGTGGAGCTATATTCCAACTACTTCATTTGCTTTCATCGTGAGAAGAATTTATAGGTATTCCATTTTTGTCTAACTCTCTTTGTCTCTCCTATTGGAGTTGTTGAATTTTGGGAGCCAGCCAAGGAAGGAATTAGGTAAGCAAAATCTTTACATCTACTTTGACCTTATATTCGTGGGGTAGTAATATTGAGTAATTGCAGTCACCCTTGAGATAAGCAAGGAGACAGAATCGTATTATAGAACACTGGTGTGTGCCTTTTAGGGCAGTGCAGAAATTGTGCTGCTCTGTGTGACATTAATTATTTTTAAAATAGAAGCCACCATATTACATGCATGCTAAGGGTTTTGTCTTTTAGCTGTACCATAATCATATTTATTTATTGGAGTTTTTAAAAATTTGCTTTGAGGCAGTTACAGGATCACTATCAAGTACATTAATATTTGCCTTTTTAAATATTCCTGAGTTTTTCTTTAAGAAAACATCCTGTTAAGAATTTCAGAATGAACGGTTTTTTGTTAGGTCGTTTTCAGCTTGCTTGTTTCCCCTCTCTAAATTCCTTCCAGGTAGACATTGCATTGTGTTTCCTGTGCCTTGTGTCATGTGGAGTTTTGCAGTGTCTAGCATTGAAATTTAATCCATTAGGATTCTCATCTTGCTATGACTTTGGTTTTCAATATAGAAAATTACAAAAAGGGGAAAATCACATAAAGGCTATGAAAATGGAAACTGAACATGCTTCTTGCCAATGGTACTGATATAGAAACCAGAATTTCATAATTGTATTAGCAAACCTAAATGATTTCCACTGAGACATCTAAGATTAACATTGATGCTAATTGTTAAATTTTGCTGTATCTAAATCTCATGCTGTAGTGTTTAGTCTTGGTAACATGGTGAGGACTATAATTTTCTTTCTGTTTCACTTGATAGCTCATTGTACCATTCTTTGATAAGACTAAAATGATTGTAGTTTTGAAACTATTCAGGAAAGCAGCAGATATTAATTGCATGGTGTTGTCACCCTAGGGTGCCTTGTACAGGAGAAATCACAACTAGACAATTCCATTGAAACGAGCAAAATGCGACATAATATTTGTATTAGAACATTGTATACAATAGACTTTCAATAAGTGAACTAAATGGGATATTATGAGTATGTGTGAATTACAGCAAAGACAAAAAGGCGAAATTTTTCATGACCTTTGATTTGGCAATATTATCTTAAATACGATACCAAAAGCATAAGCAGTAAAAGAGAAAAGTAAATAAGTTGAACTTCATCAAAACTAAAAAACATTCGAGCATTAAAGTGTGCTATCAAGAAAGCAAGAACACAACCTACAGAATGGGAGAAAATATTTGCCAGTAATTTCTGAAAAAGGTCTAATATTGAGAATATAAACACCTCTTATAACTCAACAAATAAAAAAAGTTGGTAAAGGATTAGAATAAATATGTCTTCAAAGAAGATACACAGATGACCCATAAGTAGATGAACATGTCATCGTTAATCATCAGGAAAATGCAAATCAAAACCACAATGAGATGCCACTCCACCTGCTGGGGTGGCTGAAAAGCAAAGAAAGCAGCACCACCAACAAACCCCTGACAGTTGGTAGATAGGACAGTGGGGCCCCTTTCATAGCTACTGGGATGGCTGTGGAGGCGTAGCTCCAACCAGTCAGAGTTTCCCAGGTTGGTGAGAATAGGCCTTGCAGGTAAAGCCAGACTTCAGATGCTACGGGAGGGATGTGAAAAGCAGACCTGGGTTTTAGGTACCCCTGAGCTACCTTACAGGTTAGCCAGTTGAGGAGGGCTACTCCCAGATTTTGTGTGCGAAGTGAGGACTTGACCCTCCGTGGGACTTTGGCTTCTCAGGTCCATCCCACTGTGTTTGCACCGCTCCCTGAGGCCAGTGGTCATGCAATGGGGACTGCATACATCTCAGATGAGGCATTGCACACACGTGAAGGCTCTTGCCACCCTCTCCATGAAGCAGCCATTTGCCCAAGGCCCAGGCCTGTGTTTGTTTTGACATTGATTTATTGTTTCTGTTGCTGCTTTCTCTGGCTATCTCACAAACATGTTTGATAAGTAATTTTTTTGGTCTGTGTTTATTAGGTCCATGAAAGTGCATGACCTGGTGGCTTGAGTTCCACCGTTGCCTTTTCTGCTTTCTGTTTATTAAGTACCACATAAAGTAAATCAATAAAGAAGAGAATGGAGAAATTGCCCTGTTCAACATTTCAGGGGTGAGGGAGTCATGCTGTCTATAAATATTTGTATTTTCTTGAGAAAATTCCTTTTTCTTTTTGACATTCTGACTGGTTCACTGAGAGGCATTGCTGGGTGGTGAGGGGGAAAGAAAAGAAATTTTTCCCTCTAACAATTTCTGCATGTCTTTCAAGAGATGTCATAAAGAAGAAAGCTTGGAAAGAATTTTTCATTCTAATAAATGTTTTGCTTTTATCTTTCTTGAAGGCATTAAAATACCTAGGCAACATTTTCTTCCTTCTTTCTTTCTTCCTTTTTAAAAAAATATTTATTTATTTGAAAGGCAGAGTTATATATAGAGAAAGGGAGACATACACACACATACACAGAGGGAGAGAGAGAGGTCTTCCATCTGCTGGTTCACTCCCCAAATGGCCTCAATGGCTAGGGCTGGGCCAGACCAAAGCCAGGAACCAGGAACTTCACCCAGGTCTCCCATGTGGGTGCAGGTGCTCAAGTAATTGGACTATCCTCCACTGCTCTCCCAGATGTAGTGGCAGAGAGCTGGATGGGAAGAGAAGCAGCTGGGACTTGAACCATCTCTAATGCCTGTATGGGATTTTGGCACCGCAGGCAGTGACTTAACAATGCTGGCCCCTTAGCCAGCCTTTTCTCAGTGTAGTAACAGTCAGGGAAAATGTGAAAATGTGGTCAAATGCTTCCAAAAAGCGAAACAAACTTCCTCCATTTGGAGCGTCTCTGAGCTCTCTCTGCTGTTTGCTTTACCCCAGTGCCCAGTCTCTGCGCTTTGCTTTATAAAGCCTCCTGTCTGCCGGTCCTGACCTCAGCCCCTGGATCTGTGCCACCTCAGCTCTTCCTCTGATAGTCGCCTTGGATCCAGATGCAGTGGGGACTCATCTGTCTTGGGGAGAGTGGAGGCCCAGGCCGGGTTCTTAGAAGTTCCTCCTGTGTCGCTCCCCCTCTTCATGGAGGAACGACACTAAACCCTGCCTAGGTTTCCTATCCGAGTCACAGCACCATTATGTCGCTCCCCCTCTTCGTGGGGGAACGACACAGGACCCTGCGCTGTTCTTTTGTCTGCTCGGCCCTTCCCGGGTTTGCTGCTGGTTCTTCCCGGGTTGGCTACTGACCCTTCCACCTCCGTGGAAGGGCGGTTCCCTCTGCCACTTTCCCCACTTCTGCGGGGGAGCGGCACACCGCCGGCCGGCTCTCTCAGGGGCTGCTAGGTGTTCCTTCAGATAGATGTTCCTGGTGCATGTTGTCTCTCTCCTCCTTTATAGTCCTCTTCCACCAATCCCAACTCTGCTACCCACACACCGAGTACGCTGCTCTCCTCCAATCAGGAGCAGGATCAGCTCCTGCAGGTCATCACTCAAGTTGGCGAGAGGCAGCTGCGTAGAAGTTGTTACTCCCTTCTCAGCGCCATATTGTGGGAGAGCAGATGCATAGAATAAGTCTTAATTCCAGTAACAGTCTAGTCCGAGTTGCTCCCCACACTCCTGTCTAAGTCAGCACATGAAGACAGGATGGAGGGATCCAGTAGAGATGCAAAGCGGTGCTGCTTCACTTGGAGACCCTTGAGCTTTTTGAATTTGAGTTCCCAAGATAGACATACAGGCAGAGGGAGTGCCCTCATCTTGGTCTTGGTTAGAACTGCAGAAGCTAAGGATAGGGATGGTGGAGATGCATGCTGCTCAGACTTTGGTCTTTGGTGACCAGAAGATGGAAAGCTGACCACTGATCATTGTAAATGCATGCATAATGTAATGATATATATTATACATGCATAATGTAAATAATGCATAATGTAAATGAAACAGCAGGACCATGAGATTTTAAAGAATTGGAGGCCAACTCTATAAAGAGTCAAGTTTCCCCTACCCTGCCTCCAATAGACTGTACTGGGGCAGGCATGAGACAGATATTCCCATTCCAAAAGGGTGAAACAGGCAAGAAGAAAGGAGTAACAGATCTCAAGGGTTTCCGAATCCTAACAGCAAAAATAACATTAAATCTTATGGCTTGAAAATCACCACCTTTGAGTTGGGGTCCCATCCTCTGGATACACTGGGGCAGGGGTCAGGCTCCCGGCATGTTCCTCCCCACCCCCACCCCCCATGGCTTGGCTGGGCACGACCCACACAGCAGCTGTCACAGGCAGGAATAGAGTACCTGCAGCTCTCTCAGGCTGGTGTTACATGCTGGTGGTGTATAAGGCTGAGGCCTTGGTGGTAGCCCTTTCCCCTACAGTGTCACTAAGCCTAGCCCTAGTAGCGTCTCCCTGCATGACCCCACAGTTCTGCTGAGCATTGTCCTAATGGGGACTCCATTTGGAACCCTATCCCTATAATGGTGTCCACCTGGGCACGGAGAGTTTTGGGAGGATACTTTGAAACCAGGAGCAGGGAGCCGCTCCAGTACTCCTGTGCTCTTGGCATCTGCTGGAGTGGCACCCTGTGGATGCTACAAGGTTTATCACTTGACCCCTCCCCTCTGGAGCAGCAGCCTGAATCACAGTTGAGGCAGCCAAGGAGTGCTGTGCCAGGAGCAGAGACTTGAAATAACCCTAGAGCATGGAACCCTGGAATATTGTACACACCCTGGGACCCTCCACTTAAGTCTCAGCCACTCTGGGCCCATGTTGGAGGTGATAGCACTCACAGCCTCTGAAGCATCTTCAGGGCCAATTTTACATTATCTGGATGGATGACATCTGGATTCCTTCTGCCCATACCAGACTACCTCCTCATCAGGTGGTGGCTTGGCCACAACCTGGCCATTCTCCCCTAGATTTGCTTTTTTAATTCACATTCTGGATAGGCTGAAACATTTTTAAATCTGCCTGTTTCCCTTCCAGTTATAAATTCTGTCTTTAGTTTCTCTCTTCTCATATATTAC